AATGAATGAATGAATGAAATTTGTATCTTTAGGAAGAAAATTAAATCCTGATTGTGGGACCAAGCGTTTGCCCAGTGATAGTACAACAATTGATATCCCAGTGCAATAATCATAGCATCATAGAATCATAGAGTTGGAAGAAATCTTGTGGGCCATCCAGTCCAACCACCTTCTAAAAAGCAAGAATCACATTCAAAGCACCCCCAACAGATGGCCAGCCAGCCTCTGTTTAAAAGTCTCCAAAGAAGGAGCCTACACCACACTCCAGGGCGGAGAGTTCCACAGCTGAACAGCTCTCACAGTTAGGATGTTTTTCCTAATGTTCAGGTGGAATCTCCTTTCCTGTAGTTTGAAGCCATTGTTCTGCATCCTATTCTCCAGGGCAGCAAAAAAAAAAAAAAAACAAGCTTGCTCCAGCTTCCTATGACTTCCCCTCACATATGTATACATACCCCTCACCATGTCTCCTCTCAGCCTTCTCTTCTGCAGGTTACACATGCCCAGCTCTTTCAGCAGTTTCCCAAGAGCAGTTTTGTTCTTCAGACCCTTGATCATTTTAGTCGCCCTCCTCTGAATGCATTCCAGCTTGTCAACATCTCCCTTCAATTGTGGTGCCCAGAATTGACACAGTACTCCAGGTGTCATCTGAACAATTACAGATGACAGTTGGAATGGCTCCTGACTTATGCTCCCAGATTGTGTGATTTTAAATAACTGTTTTGATATGTTTTAATGATGCAATTTTAATGTATATGTTGTTTTACGTTGATATGTGTAATATGGTTAAGGTTCTTAATTTATAGTATATGTTATTGCCTAGAAAATATGTTTTGTTTTTCACATGTATGTACAGCATTTAATTTTGCCACTATTATGTTAGAAACTACTTTGAATCCCCTCAGGGATATAAATGCAGTAAATACCCTACCACCATCTCCTTGAAGGGACTTGGAGTGGCTAACAAAAGCTCCTAGCTTTTGTGTTTTTCCTCATCAATAATTTTTGCCGTCTCAATCATACTTTGACATTGCATGTCCTGGTTTTAATCTGTGATATGTTGGGTGGCATGTCATTGAAACAGATGAAAAGTGTGTGAAACAAATTGTCCAGTTTGAAGAAGACTATTGAAATCAGTTATGGAACTTCAATATAGAGCCACTAACACACATGCAGATTTGGATCAAATGGAGTATGTTGACCTTTCACTAACTGGGCCCCAGAAGGGAAAAGAATTTACAATTGGACTTCAAGGAGGAAAGTGTTCTTTGTGTTAGAGGCCTCGCCCATTTGGAGGGGAGGCCATATTGCCTTACTTACCCGTGCATTTTTTATTTCTTGGACAAAATTCTACAAAATGTTGTTTGTGGGTCTCCCTTAATTCAAAAGCTACAACTACTTAGTAATTATTGTATGTATCACTTGACAAATAGATAGATATGATCCTATTCAACAAACGTTTGTGGCAGCTGTGCTGTTTATCTTGTCAAGTATCCAACGTCCAGAGCTAAGTGCTGGATACTTATCTTTAAAGAACTATTTCTCAACCTTCCTGATGCTGTGACCCCTTAATACAGTTCCCCATGTTGTAGTGACCCCCCAACCATAAAATCATTTTGTTGTTACTTCATAACCATAATGTTGCTACTGTTATGAATTGTAATATAAATATCTGATATGGAGGATGCATTTTCATTTACTGTACTAAATTTGGCATATATACCCAATACACCCAGATTTTAATACTGGTAGGGTTGGGGGGGGGGGGGGAGAGAATTGATTTTGTGATTTGAGAGTTATAGTTGTTGGGATTTATAGTTCCCCTATAATCAACTAGCATTCTTAATTCACCAACAATGGAACTGAACCAAACTTGGCACACAGAATACTGGAAGGGTTTGGTGGGCATAGACCTTGAGTTTTGGAGTTGTAGTTTGTCTACATCCAGAGAGCACTGTGGACTCAAACAAGGATAGATCTGTACCAAGCTTGGCACGGATGCTCAATATGCCCAAATATGAACATTGGTGGAGTTTGGGGAAAATAGACCTTGACATTTAGGAGTTGTAGTTGCTGGGATTTATAGTTCACCAACTATCAAAGAGCATTTGAACCCCACCAAGAATAGAATTGGGCCATACTTCCCACAGAGAACTCCCATGACCGACAGAAAATACTGTGTTTTCTGATGGTCTTTGGTGATCCCTCTGACACCCCCTTGTGACCCTCTCCTGGGGTCCCGATCCCTAGGTTGAGAAACACTGCTTTAAGGATTTCATTGCTTGGAACTGAAACAACTCTGAGACCATCATTCTGTATATCACAGCTACCATGGTTGTGATTGTGGAGGGCTGGCTATATTTTGATGGTTGCTTCAAGGCTTTAACTTTCATTTTTAATATGAATGATTTTTGAAGAAGTTTTGCTGTGTGTGATATTAGTAATACTTAAGAAATAACACCCTGACCCCCTTTTGTTTGTTTAAATTTGAGCAACAGTAATGCAACTTGCACATGGCAAACAGACCTAATTAGCAATGGCAGCTAAAACTGGCTTGTGGGAAGCACTCTTATGACACCATTAGTGGTCAGGGACATGGCCGAAGCATTTTGCAAAGCCCTTCTTGTTTATAAGACAAATTAGCTTGAATGAGCATTTCTGATAGGCAGTAGATTTGAAGAATGACAAGAGAGCAAACAATTTCATCTGTTAAGCCCTAGTAATCAATAATTTTCTATTCTCTTCACCTTTTGCTATGTACGCTGGGGTAGCTTTTCTTTCAGTGCTTGAGTTCACCAGTAACTCCTATTGATTTTGTGGTTAGATCTCAAGCAATACATACGTCTTTGTAGAAATGCTGGCACTCTGGGGAAAACAGGGCAAACCTTTACAGAGAGATGCAGCACATATAGACCTGTTAAATGAATGTCGTATATGCTCTTTGTCATAAACCCAGCTAGTTCTCCCTATCCCTCATGCACCAGGAATTGCAAAGCCTTCATCTTTTAAGCTCCATGTTATATAGGAAATTTGGGCAAACTCAACAACCTTAAGCACCAATTCTTCCACTCTGATGTTTCAATCCATTTTCATGTTTCAGCAAACAATGCTCTTGCAATTGTTCATATATTAAAGAAGCAGCTTATATTTGCTCTCTGATTCTTTATTGAGAATACCGTCCTTAGCAAAACACATGCACACTTTCAAAACTATATTGGATCTTTCAAGACTAGAAACCTAGAGTGGTTGGGGCATGAGATTATTAATTCTGTACCATTACTATCATTTGCACAGTTCAGTTTCAAAGTTAATATTTCTGCCATTGAAAATGAAAACAATAGCAACAGCAGAGATTGGGGAAATTACCTTTTAGATTACAAATCCCATCTTCCCCAACCCTGCTTGTTGTTTGGTTCAGAGAGCTGTAGCCTAGAAGGTTTTTTTTTTCCAGATGCTACACACCTACTGACATTGTGTAGGCATGTGCAATAAAAATGGCTCTAAACTGTGTTCAAAAGTAGGGGGTGCTGAAGCTTTGTTTCTAAAGTCCTTTCTGAATGTTGGGGGTAAACATTGAAACTTTATGAAACTTTATGAAACTTGTGAAACTTTGTGAGTACCTCATTAATGGCGGTCTCAAATGCATATTAAGGAAAGCATTACTGTCAGTGGGGAAACATGAGGGGCTTCTCTCTCCCTTATTTTTGAGCTATCCTGATGAAACTTGCTACAGTGGTAGAACATATTGACCATTTTTAGCTCACCAAATTTCAGAACATTTAACTTAACCATGGAATTTAGGCAAATTTTCCAAGTTTTTTTTAAAAAATTAATATTAAAGAAAATCTGTTCCTGGTTTGAAAATGTTATTTCCTGTTTCATTGTGTGGTCCTTACTTTTAAAGTAGTTGTTCTACTCCATAAACTTTGTTTTTGTGGCAGAAACTGTGTTAAATTGGTGGATTCTCAACAAAGCAAACTGATGATGTGTCTTGAGTAAAGACAAAGTTTTCCCAGTGTAATAAACTTTCACCATGTTTTTATGACAGACCCAATTAGGAAATGACATTTATAACACAGGAACAGAAATCATAATACAGTCACCATCAAGGGACATCTAGACTAGAGATGGGCAAACTTCAGCCCTTCAGGTGTTTTGGACTTCAACTCCGACAATTCCTAACAGCTGAATGATTTCCGCCTTGTCCTCCTTCCTCTGTCAGCCCTAATTGGCTGGAGAGGCATGCCAACATGTTTGGCTTCGCCTCTCAGCAAGGCTTGGTTGCCCTGTGAATTTTATCTCCGTCACAACTACATCCAAACATCCGAGTCTTAAAAATCGAAGGCTCCTTTTGATTCAAATGCTTAATATTGGAAGGGTAGCAAGCAGGAATGTGGAAACTCACTTCAAAAGTGCTAAACATCTGAACTAGATCTGAACTAGGGTATTTCCACATCAAACACAAAAGCCTACCATTGTGGTACAGGGTTCTCAGAATATCAGGGTCTGGACCTCTTCTCTGGTCCCTCAGGTGAGGGGATGGTAACTCAGAATAAGAGCAATGCTTTTAAAGGTGTGTGTGTGTGTGTGTGTGTGTGTGTGTTCTGCAGATTGTTTGGAATGGCTGCTATAGATTCTCCAGATGGGTTATCCTTCTCTTCTCCCTTGCTCAAACATCACTAGACACCATCCCTAGGACTAAAGGTTGGGACTCTGAATCTGGTAATCCTATGTGGAGAGAAAATTACTACTACAACATCAAATTATTACTGCAACATCATGGGAATTAACTAAAGAAACTTCTATGAAGTAGCTTTTTCTGACCTAGGTGGCAAAAAGAAACATCTCAGAAATGTTATCGGGAAACATCTCCTGAGAAATATATCAGCTCAGATATAGTAAAACACATACACACACGTATGACATGATTCAGAAATAAGTGAATTTGTCCACTCCTTGTTGAATTGCTATTTAACAATGGGAACGCTCCCTTTCTTTTCTAGTGGATTTGGATCAGCTGAATGATGATGTGAAACGCTACAGCTGCACACCAAGGAACTATTCTGTCAACATAAGAGAGGAACTGAAGCAGACCAGTATGGTTTTCTTTCCACGCTGCCTTCTTGTCCAACGTTGTGGAGGAAACTGTGGGTGTAGCTTCACACATTGGAAGTCCTGTACCTGCACCCCAGGGAAAGTGGTGAAAAAATATCATGAGGTAGGTTGCAGTTTTGTTATCACTACTGCTGCTAAGTATTATTACCTGGGTTGCTGGTTTTGGATCATCCCAGGCTTTGAGGTTTGTAGGCCAATAACTTACTTCTAGTCAGAAGGTGGATGCAGGGCAAAATGGTGAGTAAGCCTTGGCACCACAATGACTAAAAGGGAAGGAGGAAGCTTCTCCTGGAGAATCTTTTCAAGTTGTGAATAATAGAAAACTACTGCTCCACTAGTTATGCTGGAGATTTGCACACAAACTTGCCCAGAGCCGAGTCCATCAAAACTAGGAGATTTTTACCATTGGCTATCTCCAACTTCGCCTGGAGATCTGATAACCATAATTACTACTGCTACTCCTATTATAAGCAATATTCCTGCTTCTTGGTAGGGGGTTGGACTGGATGGCCCATGAGGTCTCTTCCAACTCTATGATTCTACACTACCATTGCTTCTTCCATTCTAAAGCATAAAGTAGTGGTTTGAGTGTTGGACAAGGACCCTAGAGAACAAGTTTGAATACTTCACCATGGAAACCTATCAATTAATGTTGGACAAGTCTCTCAGCCTTAGAAGATATCAGTGACAAACTCTGAGTTAATCTTGTCAAGAAAACATTCTGACAGGTTTTTGCCTTAGAGTGGACATAAGTCAGAAATGATCTGAAGGTCCACAACAATGGAGAAACAGGGAGAATGTTTCCCAGATCTCATATAAGCTACCGTTGCTTCAGGGATTTCCTGTTTCTATTCCTTGAACATGTAGCTAATAGCTATGCAGAAGAAGTAGAAATAAGGCTAAATGAAAGAATGGTAGAACCAGCTCCAAATAGGCGGAATATTTCCTTACACATGCACCTGTGTTCAATGTCATTGAGCTTCCATGGCACAAGCAGCACATACATCATGCATAATCCATATGGCGGTGGAGGTGGGTTAGCCAACATCCTTCCCCTCCCTCTCTTCCATAAGCAGAAATAGACTAAACCGCTCATCATCTAAACACTACATTGGGTGGGCTACAATCATCATTGGTTAGGTCTGGACTTGGAAAATGCCCTGATATACTGGAGCTGGTGCTAGACATTGGGAATGGTTAGAATAAAGAAGATATTCCTGCCTCAATCTCTCACTTTTCAGAAACCAAATCAATCAATATTTATCTACATGGTGTACTGTTGACATAACTTAGATAAAAGTCAGCTGAACCAGATTATGTGTTTACAAAAATATAAAATACTAGAACGGAGTTATAAAAGTTCTCCCTGAACTATGAGAAAGAAACATTCCAACGTGGCATTCTCTGATATTTCCTCCTTGTAACTATAGTGAAGGATAACAAGAGTCACATTTGTGTCACGCTTCCTCCATGACAAATGTGATCGGCTTTTAAGGCAAAATGCATCAGACTTCCTTGAAGTCGTTTGAGATTTAGGTGGATATGGAATGTGTTGGGCTGATTGAAAATATTTGACAATGAACTATTCTCAAAAGAGCTGCCTAAGTAAAGCTGTTTTTTTTAAAGCTGATGATTAATTTCCTGGCTTTCCACCAATCAATACTTTTTTATCCTTCCTATGCTTATGAAAAAATATTCCACTATTATGAAACTGGAGATTGAAGAGTTTAAAAATGAGTAATTGATTTTTACAATACAGTATATTTGAGACTGAATCCAGTTTAGGGTAATAAATATGAAATTGCATTGTTGTTTATTATTAAAGCAAGACAGCTAAGACTCTTTTAGAAAAGTGTTGGTTTCATCTGTTTATGTATTAATATGCAAGGGGTTTTTATGATTATTCATGCACATTTAATGCATGAAATGATAAAATAAACATTTATATACATTTTATCATGATATTTGATGAAGATTTTAAAATGTTTTTAAAACCAAATAGCTCTTTTGCAGAATTTGGGAAAAATGAAATTGAAAGGGTATCTATCGCCTTATCTTCACATTAGTTTGGCCAGGACACATCAGAACAGCGCACTCCAGATGTGAACTCACAAAAGGAGTGGGGAAGAGTAAATAATAACAATAATGATAAACTGTATTTATTGTCTGCCTCTTCTTTTGTCTCAAGGCAGGGCACAACATAGTTAAATAAATGTATAAAATCATATATTAAAACATAGTTAAAATGCAAACATAAAAGCATATATTTTATAATATATTAAAATGCCTGAAACAAAAATTTAAAGCACAATAAACATAGAATGTGATTTAAAAGTTATAGTTAAAAGTGACTGAGTAGGCTTGCCAAAAGAGACAGGTTTTCAATTGTATCTTAAATTCCGACAGCTGATTTAGTTGTTGGATTTCTTCTAGCAGATCATGCCACAGCCTTGGGATTGCCAATGAAAAGGGCCCCTGGGTGATGGTTGCCAGTTGGGTTCTGGCAGGATGGAGTAGAGTTCCCACAGAGGACCTAAATATCTGGGATGGATTGCATAGGAGAAGGCGATCCTATAGGTAACCTGGACCCAAACCATGTAGGGCTTTAAAGTTCAAAATCAGCACTTTGTGCCTTGCCCAGAAATGAACTGACAACCAGTGGAGTGACTTTAGAAATGGGTGTAGTATGCTCATTCCTAAATGTTCCTGTAACTGGTCTGGTTGCCATGTTTTGAACTAATTCTATGATCCTCTACTGTGTAGTAGAGGGTCTTTGGGCTAAACCTCTCACCACTCTAAATCCATAAATCCATTCCGTCTTGTCCAATTCCAGGCTTCCTGGAATCTCAAAGGATCTGTTAGACTTTAAGGCAAACCATTTTAATAGGCCCTCCACCCCTGCAAGGATTGATTGTAGGTGTGATACTAGCCCTGATCAGATACTAGCCCTGATCTGACAACTTTGAAGTATTACTGAAATCTGCATCTATAACCTGCCAAATACATAGGTCTGGAAACCAATTGGGATAGGCCCATGTTTGTCATGAATGCCATGAACTTCTGGGTTGCACCTGACAAACTGACCTTCAGAGGTATGTTGAAGTCACCCAGAAGCAAAGGTCTGGTCAATTCCAACAACACTTCTGAGACCAGTTCAGTGAGCTTGGTGGACAGTACATTAATAGAATCTCCAGTCTATCCCTTATTTTGAGACTCAGGTACACAAGCTCAATGTGATTCTGCTGCCTAATAGGAAGTCTGGTCAGGGTAAGATGGTCTTTATAGACCCCAGCTACCCCACACTCCCAGCCCACTTTCCCTCACCTGCTCATTGACATAGTACCTGGCTGGGAATGCCTGAGTCCAGGTTGCCAGCCAAGTTTTGGTGAAGCATGCCAAATCAGCCCCCTCATCTTTGAGGAGGTCATAAATTATGTGAGTTTTGTTTTTAATTGACTTGGCATTAATCAAGATCAAAGTGAGATTTTCTGGGTGGTCTGATTCACTCTCCAAATTCCCAGGCTAGAAGGTAAGATACATATTAAACACTACTGAAGACTATGGTAACTGGTTTTTATTTTTGCAATAGCATTATGAAATATAAAACCTATAGTACTTTTTTAGATGTAGAACTAGAGAAATTGCAGTCATTTTTTCTGTGTCCCTCCCTCCCCCCCTTCAGTGCTTCAAAATACTAACACAGATACTCCTTTGAAAAATCTTTCAACATCCCTTTTTTATAGAGTGGTAAAGATGAACATGTTAACTCCTCATAAAATTTTTCAGACCCAATGACCAGTACACCAGAGTAGAATACTTTTCAGATACTAGTAATTGATGGGCAATTTCAAGATCTATCATTACCCCTTTTGCTGGACTGTGCAGCTCAGATAGAGAACACTGTGAAATAGAAAGCTGTCTGTTAGAATATTTGGTATCTGTATCAAGAGTGCAGTGGAACCAGGGCAATATCAACTTTTAGTAGAAACTGGAGAAAATCCCCTTGTAAGGTGAAAAGGGAAATCTTACATTCATTGTTCAAGTAAATTCATCTTGAGATAGAAATAAGATGACCCATATATCACTAGAGGAGCACCTAAACTGGGCTCTCATTTGTGATAGGAACTTCATGGGCAATCACGTCCCAGGCAAAGGAAGACAAAGGACTAACTTTTCAAAGAAACGGGCAATCGCATCTGGGACCAGGAAGGAAGCAAAAGGCTTGAATGCAATAGATCAAAGAAAGAAATGGACTGGAGGAACAAAGAGGCCCTATGTTCTCTAGAGTTTCCTCTCACTAATCACTTTATGCAGACATTGAGGTTTCTTTGCCTCCAAAATTGTAATCTAGAAGATGTAGTTTGTCCTCTGCAAAGCAGGTCATATAACTATCCAAGGTACATAATATAAATCAAAACTGGCAACAGCAGAGAGGGGAGAGACCAGTTTTCACTTCTGCATCAGTATCCTCACATGACTGGAAGTGATGTCACATTACTTTTGGTTTTAATTTTGAGGGTGCATGGGTGGGATATTTGTTAGCCTTTTCTGTACATCTGGTCCATATGGACGCGTTCTAAGGCCAGTCTTGTCAGTTTTACACATCTTTTGAAACTGGACTTAGATTGCACAATATATCAAATAAGGAGACACCTTCAAACAAGTACGATTGTACTGGTATCTGTGGTTATGTGCTTTTAAAACTATTCATTTTAAAATGTGCTTTTAAAACTATTTCATAGAATCATAGAGTTGGAAGAAACCTCTTGGGCCTTCCAGTCCAACCCCCTGCCAAGAAGCAGGAAAAATTACATTCAAAGCATATTTGTAATTCAGTTGTGTTTCATTATCATATCTTATTGTGTTTTTATTGGTGCTTGTTATTAATACTTTTTGAAGTTGCTAAAGGTCTCAGTTGCAGAAAGGTGGGATACAAATAAATGACTCCTTTTAGATATGTAGTTCCCAATATGCTTTCTACACTATTCCTTCCTTTGAGGACTATGCCTTGCACCTCTTGCTGAGTGTTCCTACTGATTTGAGATAGAAAAGGCACTAAAGAGTTCACCATATTGCCTGCTCCTTTCCTCTGCTGACAGCTGTGTGTGCTTTAAAGAATGGCTAAATAAATGTGGAGCAAAGCTAGTGAAGAACAGTTCTAGCTTCAGGATACAGCAAAATTAAAGAATCTTCCCTAGGAAGAATGCACTGGACTAACATCACTCTTGTCTTTGATGTATCCAATATAGATTTATCTTTGCAGTGTCTATTCATGCTAATGTCTAAATCTGTGTTCATTGTACTTCTAATTCATCCCTAAAGGATACATTTACATTTAAATTTACAAAAGCCAGGTCATTCAATGCTAAAGCTAGAACATTGTCCTTAATTAATTCTGGTTGCTGAGATAAAAATAATGGAAGGAATTAATCGCAGCGTGGTGGACTAGGCAAGTTAATTCCTTCATCTTTTGTCATTCTGGCAAAATGCACACCTCTCCACATCATGCCTACCAACTGATTTAGAAGTCTGCTTTCTTGACATTCAGCAGGACTTTTGCCATTGACCATAAAAACCATAGTTTAAATTAATATTTGTGTGTTACTTAAGTATCCATCCTGTCCACAAAACCAAGCTGACACATCTTCGTGTAGACAGGCTTATAATATAATGGTTTTCTTCTATTCTCCTTTTTGGATTTCTTATTTATAAAAACTGGTTTAAGGAAAAAAGTCTCCCAGGTGTCAACACTCAACAGAACCTTGCAGGCTAAAGGTTTTAAAATCAGACGACTAAGCAGAGTGTCTTCAAAGAAAGAATGAAAAAGATATAAAGGACAAGCTGATTTTGGAGCAACTCTTCCTGTAATCTCTTCCAGTTAAGGATTTTTTTCTATACTCCAAAACAGCAGATTACCTGTGCCTTTGGTTACAACAAGCAAATAAGAGTAGGTCCAGTTACAACAGTGGTTTCCAAACTTTTTTTTTACCAGGGACCACTTTGACCAGGGACTACTTGACCAAGAACCACTTCGACCAGGGAACACTCTCCAACATTAGTACCAAAAGGGTTATGAATCAGTTTTTGGTCAACTTTAGATTTGGTTTGGGGTGCCGATTCAAAAAATTGCATTGGACAGACCACATCAACTCTAGTTTCTGATATAGAACATATGCCATGGTCAGTGACAGGGAAGGTGTAGCAGGTGCTGTGAAAGGAATGGGAAATAAAATAAAATAAAATAAAATAAAGAGGAAGGAGGTTTTCAGACCAGATTTTCATCGTCGTTGCCCACTAGTTGTCTGTGGCTCACAGGTTAAGAACCACTGAGTTACAGTAACATTTGCAGAACAACTATCTTATAGTGAGAGTGCTCCCTAAAATGGAGTTCAGGTCACAAAGAGTGAATAGAGTGATTAATTCCTAAGCATGACTCTCCACCCACCGTGTATCTTCTCTACACAGGAATCAAACATTACATGTTCTAATTTTTGAAATTTTTTCTGGGGAGTCTCTGAAGATTTCTCCTCTGGAAAATATGCTAGTGACAGCACTAATGTATAATGTCAGAAGATGGTGTGGTTTATTTTTTAAAATCTGACTTATGATACATGAACCTCTTTCTGCCATCAAGCCATTGTTTGTCAACTAGCCAAAAAATGAACCCATGTCAAATGAGCAATAGCTATGGGCTGGAGGGCCATATTGAACCCTACAGATCCCAAAGGGCCAGCATACACACAGGCACACGCACACATACACACATAAAGTCACTACTGAAAATCAGGAACTCAATCAGACTTGGGTACCAAGGATCCCCCACAAATCATACACTCAAGCAAACACATAAAAGACAAATATAAAAACATTCCCATCAATGGAATCTTCTCCAAGGACATCATCAGGAAGTTTAGTTCTCAGTGCTGTAATGAGAGAAAAGGCAAACTTCCACTGACAGGAAGAAAGAAACATCCTCGTCTTGGACTCTGAGCTGTATTTGGATAGTGGTACTCCCCCTACTCCTGTGAAGACAAAAAGACCACAACACATTATCCTCTTGCTCTCCTCTGAAATAACTTGTTTTCTTTTGGCATAGCTCCAAAAATCAATGTCATGCTGGAAGACCTGAATCAGGCTTGATTAGGCGCTTGCAGAAGAAAAATGTTTCCATCTGCAAGCAGCAAATCAAGTCAGATTCAGGTACAGTGTTCTTTTTTCTTGGAGCAAAACTTCTAGATACCCTTTCTCATTTATCCACACCCAAAAATGATGATTTGGAGTAGGGGTGGTAGTTGTCAAGTTGTATGGAAAGGATGAGGAAGACCCTACTTGTGTCTCCTGTGGAAGAAAGGCCCTCATAGTATATAACTTAAGTTCCACTTAAGATGGAGAGTCTCCATTTTCCATAGAGTTCTTGCACTAAAGGTATTTGGGTGGAATTACCTTTCTTGTAATATCAATTTGTTGCTTTATGTTCCAATCTAAGGAGCAACAGAAAGCAAGCTTGCTCCATCTTCTGCATGACATCCCTTCAGTTGTTTACAAATAGTCTCCTCTTCTTCAAGCTAAAACCACCCAGCTCCCTTTGCCATTCCTCATAAGGCTCGCTTTCTAGCTTGTCATTTTCATTCTTGAATGGTAGTGCCCAGAAGTAGGCACAGATCTTCCAGGTGAAGTCCGGCAGAAGTAAAGTAGAGTGGTATTCCATCTGAATACTATATGTCTCTATTCCTGCAGCCATAATTTGCATTGGCCTTTTTGACTGCTGCATCACATTGTTGACTCATTTTTAACTGTGTTCTACTAAGACCCCTAGATCATTTTCACATATAATGCTTTTAAACCAGATATCACCCATCCTATATTTGTGTATTTTGGTTTTTTTTTCCTGTTAAGATATAATACGTTACATTTCTCCATTTTAAAATTCATTCTGTTAGCTCTGTCCCAGCTCTCAAATCTGTCAAGGTCATTTTGAATTCTGGAGCACCCGGTGGTGCAGTGGGTTAAACTCCTGTGCTGGCAGGACTGAAGACCAACAGGTCGCAGGTTCGAATCCAGGGAGAGGTGGATGAGCTCCCTCTATCAACTCCAGCTCCTCATGTGGGGACATGAGAGAAATCTCCCACAAGGATGATAAAAACATCAAATCATCTGGGCATCCCCTGGGCAACGTCCTTGCAAACGGCCAATTATCTCACACCAGAAGTGACTTGCAATTTCTCAAGTCGCTCCTGACACGACAAAAAAAATGAATTCTCATTCTGTTCTCTGGGCTATTAGTGATGGGGTGGCAGATCCACTTTGTAATCTGGATGGCATTTTAAAGGAGCTATCCAAGAGGCCAACCTCATTTTGGGAATAGTCTGTCAACTATGATTGTTCCCTTAAAGTTCAGGCAAAAAGTCAAAGCATATTCACCTTCATACAGATATAACAGCCTCCTCTGTCTGAACAGACCAAAGACCTATCTGATCAAACAATTCTGTTTTGATAGTGGCCAACCAATATCTAGAAGGGAACTCGCAAGCTGATCATGGGGGCAACTGCACCTTCTCACTATAGCCTCTTATAGTGCAGGTCATATATCATTGATAGCAATATATCCATGATCGGTAAATGCCAGTCTCATTTCCAATATGCACAATTTTATTTTAAATGCTGTAACTGTGCCAGGTGACCTTGCTTTCCCTGCCTCCCCCTTCGTTTTGGGGTAATCCAAAGCATAAGAGTATTGCATGGAAGCTGGGATTGGAACTTTAAATATCAGTCCCTTGATCATTTTGAAAAGCTGCCCAGTTCTTCTGTTATTCAAACACTGCTTTGCTGTCTCAGATGGGAAAGTGCCTGCCAATTCATTCCTCTCCTGTTATCTGCAAAGCACATATACAGTGCTCATGTTTCTTAATAGAAAATATAGAAAAGACAAAATCCCTAAACTGTCAGGAGGTCTGTTGGCTTAAATACTGGGCATATTCTCATCCCTCTTCGTGCGCTTCCATTTGTGGGTAAAAGCCATATTCATTGAACAATGTATTTGCATTTTAAAAAGTTGTCTTGCATTAATTAGATCCTGAAAAAGAATCTGGGCAAGGTCCAGCTTTTTCACCCAAAAAAGCTATATTTAGAATCGTATTGTGACTTTACGCTGGCATGATTGTTGTTATGCAAGTGGTTGCCTTTTCTTCACTCTTCTCCTCCCACCCTTTCTTGTCTTCAGCTTTCTTTGGTTGCTAGAAATTGAGTTCAAGTTACAATAGTAGTTTTCACCCAATAACTATAATGGGGAAGGAGGAAAGTGGGGAAGAGTCTCGTATTTTCCAGGAGATGCAGGCAAAATCAAACTAATGCAGCCTCTCATGGCTTATGTGCTCTTCCCTATTAAGACCTTCTGCCACCTTGCACACTATGATGTTGTTTAGCCACATGTGTTCTAGTTTTCACCTTTGAAATGCTGAAGGATATGCAGTAAGGGTGTTATTTATTTATTTATTTATTTATTTACTCCTTTTGTATACCGCAAATATCAGCCAACGGCGACTCTAAGTTCTACAGAAGCCCTATTATGCCAGCCATTTTCTCAGTAGTTGTGTGTTTTACGAGGCTATGTAAGTGCAGCCATAGGTAGCAAGTGTTATGGTTGTAGAGTTGGGCATCATGAGGTCAGAGGTTGTAATGCATTACCAAATCAGTGGTTTAAAATTCTGTGGCATGGGTTAGTTAGCAGAAGTCATACAAGCATCACAAGAAACCAGATGTCAACAAACCAACCATGGATTGTATGATGTGGATTGTATGATGTGTGATCACATTTATTGGCTGTACACTTATCTTTTATTTGGAATTAAATGTACATGGTGAGTTCCTGCCCCATTATAATTGGATCTTGTGTACTGTCTCCTGTTCTTCTCTAGGTGCTGAGATTCACCCCTGAAGCAAGTCCTACCTGGTGGCGGCGCAGAACCAAGAATAATATGGCACTGATTGATATTCAGCTGGAACACCATGAGCGTTGTGACTGCATCTGTAGTGCAAGACCACCCCGATAAAAAGAGAGTAGATCAATCCATTTGCAAATCAATGGACCTCTTCCTCTAAAATTGGAGCTAGCCTTAGAGCTTCTCCCAGTGGCCAAGTTTGCTAACATCTCCAGTGTACCTGGTAGAGAGACCCACAGCCTTCTGATGTATAGTCCTAAGTGCCATGACAGTTAACCATTCATAACACAGATATAGATAAATTCAAATCTGGGTTTAAGCATTAGAAAACAAGAGAAACCTAAGGGGAGAAATCTTCAGTGTCTCCACTGAGATCTAGCTATACGATGACAGTGATTTTTTGGGGGGCTGAATTCCTTTAGTAGGCTTTCTAAGTCTTAGAAGCAAAAGTTACACATGGGTATGTATACATATATTCACATACCTTTGCACACAACTCTTCATACATACAAACCTATTGAACTAAGCACACTTAAAATGTAAATAAGGGATGGGGGACGCATATATATATAGAGTGATTGTATTAATCCAATTTATATCTCCTAGTCAAGCAAAAAAGAATAAAGGTTTCCAGCTGGGGATCTGGTGTACTTCATATAATATTGTGGTGCTGCATGGGGAAAACAGTGGAAAGGCACTTGTGTATGTATTCAAGCAAGATTGTTCATTATGCAAGATTGTACATTAAGCAATCTAGGCCAGAGGGTTTTGGGACTGGCGTATAGTCTTCCGCATGTTCACATACTTTTCCAGGTTAGTTTAGAACTTCCTAAAAGAATTGACCCATTTTCATTCAGATTCCAAGCTCAAAAACACCATGATGTATATATATAAAATTAGCCATACAAATGATATTTTTAGTCTATTCATGTGGAGTGCACTCCTGACTTCTTAAGACACAAGGAGACTCAGCTTCAGTGTGGAAAGATGTCAAACTGGTTTCCAGATAGTAGCGTAAATGTCAGTTTGTTACACATATTAAAGTTTCAGAAGGTCATACTTGAATCTTCAGTTTTCTCTGTCTTGTACTGGAAGATCCCAGAATCTGCTAAGGCCCTTGAGTACAACATTTTGCTGCACAACCCCTGCAAATGAAGAGGCAACATGCATGAATGAGCTAACTAAGGACAACTTTTATTAATGTTACCTAACTAAAATCTAAAATTTATCCCCCACAAGTGGGACTATAATGCATAATGGACTTGACAATGAACTTGGCAATGAACTTGATGAGAATAAAGCCGTAGTGGTGACCTAATGTCCTACCCTTTGGCTGCTAAGGGAAACTTGCTGGTCAGGAGAAGACTGAAGAGAAGGGTGGATTGTGTGCTGTGGCTCCGTCCTCCCCGAAAGTAGTCCCCTCTGGGACTATTTCCTGCTAGTCTCTTCCGCAGAAGAAGTGTCAAAACCCTTTCGGCCCCCAGCTTCATAGGAGTCAGAAAGGCCGTTGTGAGATGCCACCATATACTCATACCACCAAATACTCGTACCAAAAATTGATTGGTTACTAGCCTCCATAACATGGACTAAGCACTTGTGTAATTTGCATAAATATCTGGTATAGCTCAGTCTACAACATAAACAGAAACCATGGGATGCTCAGAAGGCATTTAGGATAAAGAAACAATATGGCCCAATAATGTCCTGATTTCTAACCTGGTTGAGTGAAATTCCATTGGTTATCTGGAATTTTCACCCCTTTTTTCCAATTTAATTTTCACTAATCTTCTGTCTGTAATTGTTGTTGGACTGGGTCACTTTAAAATGGCTTTTAATAACAGATACTCAGCATTTTGTATAATATCTTTGAATATTCTAGTTGCTTAGCATGCTGTTATCTTACTTACAGTCTGACAACAGTCCTAGGCAGGTCAATTTTACTATTATCCATGCTGCAAAAAATAGACTAAACCTTATATCTCGTATAAGAACAGGTGAAATTTGAACCAAGGTATTCCTGTGTTGTAGCTCAATTTCTTAGCTACTGCATTATTTCTTCTTGCCTATGTACCAAGGTTAAGAGCAGCTGCAGGTTAAGAGAGGAGATTCCATCTGAACATGAGGATGAACTTCCTGACTGTGAGAGCTGTTCAGCAGTGGAACTCTCTGTCCCGGAGTGTGGTGGAGGCTCCTTCTTTGGAGACTTTTAAACAGAGGCTGGATGGCCATCTGTCAGGGGTGATTTGAATGCAATATTCCTGCTACTTGGCAGGGGGTTGGACTAGATGACCCATGAGGTCTCTTCCAACTCTTTGATTCTAAGAGAGAGTTGTAGTTTCTTAAGCAGCATTCTGGTAGCCACATGCAAAATGCTATACAATGTCATATATAGTTATAGTCTTTAGCAGCTACCTTGGGCAATTTTGACATTCTTTAAAGTTTGTATTTTATTTTGTTGAGACACATTAAAGCCTTGAACCTCACCTAATTCTTGCCAAACAATACAAAGTGTTTATTATTTTTGCAGAATATAGATATTTTTCGGTTACCACCTCTCTGTTGGTACAAGAGAGTTCTGAAACACTATAGCATAGCAGCTTCCTCTGTTTTTGAATCTATTATGAGAGCAATCTTCAGTTAGTGAAAGGAAGAGATCGTTTCAGTTTGTGTGTGTACATATGTATATCCTTCAAGTTATCCACAACAAAATGTAGGTCAGCGTATGGCCAAAAGGGAAATGAACTTTTGATTGTGAATATAATGGAGAAAATAGGGTGGAAAGATTCACAGACAAAGGCTTATATTTAATAATAGTGTGAATCTTCATTTCAAATTCAAGCATTGGTTTTTTGTTTTGTTTTTTTTTGGTTTCTGTCTATAAGAAAGAAATACATGATTTTATAATAGGCTTCAATCATTAAACAAAAAAAATTGTTATCAAGGAATATTGTAAACCATTCCTGTTTGGATGATTGCATCAGTTGTAGAATTTTAATATTATCTCCATTTATTAGATTGGCATCTTTTCTTAAACGGGGTGTGCTATATTCTCCCTGTTTTCTATATCAATATCGAAACTAGTGTGCATGAGCAATTTGCCATTTCCATTTCTGGCAGAACATTTATGGATCCAAACATGATTTGCCCCTTTTCTTTGTTTTCCTCCTTGTTCATATTGGTGGATTTTTATACTTTTCTAGCTGCACCTTCAAAGCATTTAATTCATTATGTTTCTGTCATGAAAGAACAGTACTACAGTCAAAGATTCAAATAACTTTTATTACCTACTAGCTTGGGTATCTGGCGGTGCCCAGGTTATTTGAAAAAGGGCATTGTTTGTTTTGGGGTGTTAGGTAATATCATTTAGTTAATTAGTAGCACTATTTATTAGGAAAACGCCAAAATTTGATTTCTTTTTTTTATGAATGCACCTATTAGAAAACTACAATTCCCAGAATCATTGATCAACACTCCCCAAACTAGGCCTATATGTACAGTTGGCCATATCGGGTCTGTGTGCCAAGTTTGGTCCAGATCTTTCATTGACTGGGCTTAGTGCTCTCTGGATAAGGGTGAACTACAACTCCCATATGCCAAGGGCAGTCATCCACAAATCCTGCCAGTATTTACAGTTGGCCTCAGACCTCCAAACCCCTCCAGTCTGTGCAGCTGCTGATCAATTCCTCTGTATTTGCTGTATGCCATAGGAAAGGGTAGAAAAGGGTTAAGGAAGAGGCAGTGGGCGGGGTCATGCAAATTCCACACACAGAACCCTGGGATGCCTTCCTGTGATGGAGGAAACACATCAAATATAGAATGAAATTCTCCCCAAATGAAAGCAATCCTTGAGTAGTGAGCCGTAGTGTTTGGAAAGGACATTGGCAGCATCTGGGCTACATGTTCATGGTGCTCACTCTAACCTGCAATGTCAGTTGAGTGCCTTTGGAGGCTTCTCAGCACATATTCTGTTTGTGGAGGTGAGAAGCTGTCTGTGTAAGTGGACACCTCCGCCACATACACATTTTTCACTTTTATTACATGTATAGATAGATGTATAGATAGATAGATAGATGTTGGGGGAAAAAAACATTTCACAGTTCACCTGTCATGTTTTTGTCTGATACTTTCCAAAATCTTAGCCTAAAACTGGAAAACTAGCACATACAATGTGCCAATTTATATTGTGTAATGAAAATTATTTACTAAAGTCTAGTCTAATTGACACCACAGCATGGTATTTAATTGGTTCCATTTAAATTAGTTCCATTTAGCTTGACTAAATTGAATTTTGACTCTTTTCTTAAATGTGGAACCAGGTCATCCTAGAACCAATTTCACAGCCATGAGCATTCAGTAAATATTGGCAAGATAATAACTGGCAGATGGACATGTTTGTTCAACTTTTAACAAGAAGAGATTGTTCTGACTTTATGACTTTTTCATCACTTCACTAAAAACAAATAGCCATTGTAATAGTTCATAGTGAAGTGTTTATAGCTAAGTAGAGCATTTGACCTGGACTGATCTTGTAGGAAAGTCATCTTAGTTTTGAGAAAAAGGTACTGTTTTGAATGACAGTTCCTAGAATCACTCACAATTCTTAATGGTCCTTGGCTTTGCTGCTTGGAGGACTCTGAAAGGTGTTACCCAAAACAATAACTTTTTCAAGCGTTTATCTAAGCACATTTCCATTTTCTTTATCAGGCCCAAACATCACTTAGTAATTCTGATGATTCCAAATTTACCTTCCATCCTTACGACCCTGCCCATACTAAGACACTAGCAACAGGTAACTTGAACTGTGAACTAGATATTTTGTTCTGCTTTTCCAACTCAATTTTGGAAGCTTCAGAGTTGCTTGGGCTGCATTCAGAGCAGGCAAATCAAGCAGTTTGTTCACTGAATGTTCATTGTACAATCCAAAAGGGGGAAATCAAGTAACCATTATATGAATGACTTCCAGAGACAACGTACAGAATCAACTGTTGGAAGTTCAGGAGACAAGCACAGTATGACTAATTTCTTTTCCAAAGGAGAAGTATGACAGAGGGTTGACGGAAAAGAAATGACTGACATGGTGTGAATATGGGCTATGTAAATATTCCATCCACTTTTGTGTCTATGACAGACCAATGTTAAGTAGGGATTCAATCATACATGTGTGATAGTCTACTTGGGTTTAGTGACAGGCTCTTCAAAAACTAGGGGGACTCCATAAAAGCCTATGATTTGATTTTGCAGTGTAGCACAAAAGTTAGACAGGCATTTGAACTTGCATATACTCATATAAGATGCAAAAAATAAGCCTGCCAACCGTCTTGATAATACTCAAATGTAATCAAGAAATGTACAATGATGGGCAGGTTCAAGATTTTTTTTAGCCAAATGCAAAGGACAAATGGGGCACCCATCAAACCTCAACTTCCCAAAACTAAGTGGACTGCCAGGTTACTTATTTCAACATCGATGATGGGATAGTGGTTTCTATCCTCCTGGAGGATAGGAAACTAGTATGCTTGTTCACGGATTCATTTGGTCAGTTCTCTTCAGCCAATTCAGCTTGTTTGGCTTGTTTAGCTGGCTGAAAAGGCCTATGTGGGTGCCAG